ATCGACTGAGATAAGGAATAAAATGAAATATTAAAATCATGATGTATCTCGCTGCATTGTGCGAGTACGCTTCTAGTTTTATATTATGGTAAAGATACACAATAATAATATATTTCATTTACGGGCCCAATTTTAAGAAATACACTTTTTTCAACTCAAAAATTATGATTTAGAGCAGACTTTAGAGTTTCTAAAAAGTTGTTTGGTGGTGCTTTGCTAGAAAAGGGACAAAGGCAAAGGAAAGAAGGCCTGCTATTTTAAGATGAGGGTGAGAGATGAGTGGACCAAAACGAAACAAGTTACAGTTCCTACTGATTTGTTCCCTGGATGGATCTATTCTAATTCTTAATTATCCGTCAAGATATTATTTTCATATACTAGCATAATAAAACATATATCGAATCGTTATTTAGTACAACGATTCAAATTACAAAAGATCATCGTTAAATGAAAAAACGAAAGTATGCTGTCTCATTTGCCTAAATGACAAATATATGTTATCCAAAAATGCTAAAATTAAAATACATTATTATTATACATAAAAAAAAAAAAAAACTATGCTGCATAAAATATAAATTGACTTCAAATAGGTTACCATGTGAGTTTTAACACATTTTAGTTTGCATCCATTTGGCCAATGCGAGCAAGTACGTCGTCGTTTTGAAATCCAGAATGAAGTTTTGGGCCGGACTAGGATTCTTTTTGTCAATTTTGATATTGGACAACTTAGGCCCAAAGTGCTGTCCAACTCTAAGGTCCTCAAATTCCAATTCCAGTCCAATGAGCAATGAGTGAGAAAATCCAATAATTACATTTATAACCCTTCAAGTTTTAAAAATAATAAATTTGCCTCTAAAGATGTTAGCAAACCTAATTGTCTTCAGGTCGTGGTCTATAAAAGTAAATTTTAAGCCTTAGGCAGTGACTACCGCACGAAATCAAACATCCAAGGATGATTTTGAAAAGCATGTCGAAGTTGTTGACGAGTAACAAGAAATAGGCTACGTTGGTTAAAATGATATCATAAAAGTATATTAATATTATTTCTCGCATTAGAGAACTTTGTTGAAGTAGAAAGTCAATAAAAGGTCAAGGTACAAACTAAAACTTGGTTCAGTTAGGATCAATCAGTCTTTAACGAATAATGTGTTAAGTACAGTTAATTATTGTCATAAATAACATCAGTTTTTCTCTTTTTAAGTGTTATTTTTACAGATATAAATAGATGGGTGTAAATAGATATTCACATCTATCTCAATCTTAACATCAAATAGGTTAAATGAAATTGTAGTTGAAACTTGAATAAATTTAAAAACGTTAACTCAATTGATTATGTAAATATTAAGTTTCAGTTTAAAATAATGTAAGGTAAAATGGAGAACGGGGGAATCTTTCATCAATTATCGACTGATTTTAATTCAGTTATTCTGAATAACAGAGTCTATTACATTTTTCCATAACTAACTCAATGATTTTAGGACTAGAGTTACATTTGAATCTAGTTCATTTATTTTCCAAATCAAACAGTTGATGAAATATTTTCTAGTTTTCCAACTTTTAGGGTTTTCTTTTGAACATATATAATAGTAAAATGATTGAGTAATTGTTATTCAAATACGTTCGTGAATCATTCCTACCACGAAGCATTGCTTTCAGCGATCTAACTTAAATGTTAACTGGAATTATTGTGTGCGACTTGTCTTTAACCCATGAAGCTACTTACTATATTCAAAAAAGGTCTTTGTTTTGTCCGTCAATTCTCACGTTTATGTTTTTGGATTATCATCCATTCTTTCATTTATGTTTTCTTATTTACAACTTTTTATTTTGTTTTAGTGTTCATCACATATTTTATGAATATATATATATATATATAGAGAGAGAGAGAGAGAGATAGAGAGAGAGAGAGAGTGGAGTTGAGTTAAGAAACCCAAAATCAATTAGGAACTTAAGAACAATTCATAGTGTACCATCTGTCCCTCTTCAAGATGAATATTTATCCTGAACTACATATTTATGAAAAAAATATGAAAGTGTTGTGTATCATAAATTTCATATTCATGATGAATATCAACATCTTATTCACTATGAACAACATATTCTTGATAAATATGCTACAACATGTTGGTGATTTTAGTGTCACCGGTTACATTTAGTGTAATGGATTTTATACGTGTGTTTCAAGGGGATTGAACTTTGTTCTAAAACAAGTATAGAGAGTGTGGAGTGCACACTTGTATTAATCTAAGTCGGTCCCGGTAATATTTAGGGGGCAACGCCCCCTGAACGCAAAACGGGGGTCCCGCTGCCCGGTCAGCGGGCGGGGTCCCAAGGGGCAGCGCCCCGGCCCGAAATTATATAAGTATAGGGTTTATAATGAAAAATTCTTGAATTTTCTGTGGCATTATTGTGAATTCTATAACTTGGTAACTCCCGTTTTGAATTTTGAGATCTAATTTCGGATTATCAGTTTTTGGGCACACACGGAAGATTGGAGATACTCTATATTCTCTCTGGTTTTTGATCTTGATTTCTGCCAAAATCAAGATTGTTGCTTTTACAATTATCCCAATTCGGATTTCGTGATACCAGGCATATACGGTCGAAATATCGAATTTGGAAAGTGATTCACACGATTGTAGAAGAAATCCGGTTACGGTTTATAACACAACATCCATATTCGTAGATAAATAAGTCATGTGTCGTGCTATGGACGGTTCAACCATCACATGTGACAGTGTACGGGGATGAAATAGTGTGCGGGTGACTTGGCCCTTGGCCTAGGTTGCCTGTGTCCATCATATGTATATCACCACTTTATCATATGTGATAATTGTCTGTGTCAGATGTTCTTGCCTTCTCGTAAAAATGGTATCGTTCTCGTTTGAACCTTCATAAAGTTATGTTCAAATGAGAGCAGTATAATCAAAACCGATAGAATCCACTCATCAGTTGGATTGAATTGGTTAGGTATCTAGAGTTAATTAGATTAAATCAATTGTAAAAAAATTAACATCTAGCTAATGATTCCACCAAATTGAAGTGAAGCAATGAAGGCAAAATAGAATAGGTAAAAACCAACCACAACCAAAATAATTAGAATACTTCCAATTGAAAGGGTAATATTGTCCACAACCAACAACATGATTTGACTTATTTAAACCTTATCTAATTTCCAAATCTACCCTTCTTCCTTAAACTCCTTCATTTAGAAACCTTAATAATCCTTCCCACACAATTGTCCGTGGGCCTTGTATGAGGCAAATACATCAATGGGCATTCTGGATTCTCCCTCTCAAGCCTGCATAATAATAAAATATAGTCAATGGTCGAACGAAGCAGAGTGTGATCTGAGTCAGTACTAACTATCGACCATGTAAGATCCCCTCCCTTATGTTATTAGGTCAGCATCATGGACCAGGAAGAAGGGTTTGGTTATTATCAACATCTTTGATTAGGTAATCGAAGACGATGAACATATAGTAAATAGTCCCTCAGTTTGACCCAAAAAGTCAAAATAGAATATGGTGTATGTGAGAACTCACTTATAATTGAGCAGAAAATGGTGGAGGAAGATGGCAATCTCAAGCTTGGCAAGGTCATTTCCAGGGCAAAGTCTGCTTCCTGCTCCAAATGGAAGGAAAGTTCCCGCTTTTGGTACAACATCCTGGTCAACATCTTCAAATATTAGTCAAACTGTACAACTTATAAAGCCAATGGTACAAGTCAGAAAGAGACTTACATCCCATCTTGAAGGATTAAATGCTTTGGGATCAGGATAAATTTCAGGGTTGTGGTGAACACTCCTAAACCACAACACTGCTTTCCATCCTTTAGGAATGGTGTAACCTATTAAAAAAAATTTATAATATATAATTAAAATTAAGTTAACCATAGTATTTTCGATATCTAAGGAAACAAAGAAAGATCAGACCTTTCATCTCAAAGTCTTTTTTCGCTTCACGGAACGTCATGACTGAAAACGTCAACAAACGAAGTGTTTCATCAATCACCTTTGAGAGATACTCCATCTGACGATACTCTTTTAGGGTCAAACCCTTTTGCCCCGGGGGCATATTCTTCACAATCCTCTCTTGTTCTTCCTATAGTAAAATTGAAACGTGTATACTTATTTTTAGACGGATGAAGTATCATTTAAATGAATCTTGTAATTTTGAGCAATTTATTTTACCTTGGCTTTTTGGAAGAACTCGGGGTGTTCTTGGAGATGGACGGTTGTCCACATAGTGATGTGCCCCGAAGATTCATGACCGGCATTTAGGTACATGACCAATGTATCAATGATTTCCTCATCATCTAGTTTTTTTCCATTCTCATCTTTAGTGTCCAAGAGAGCGTCGAGCATGTCCTTTTTAGTCATCCCTTGAGCCTCCTCACGTTTCATCCTACGGTTGTGCACTATTTTTCCCAAAACAGTCACAAGATTCTTTCGTGCCTACAAATTTATGATCATCAACCAAAATGTTTAAAGGTTTCTAGATACAACAGGCCAGATTCATGTTAAGATCATTTAAAATAAATAAAGGGCAAGAAAACCAACCTTAAGGGCTTTATAGTACACAAAGCCGGGAAAATTGATGGCCAGGGCTCTAACGCCATAATTAAGCACCGTGTACTCTTTCTCCAACGCCTCCCTTACTTCTTCGCTCTCCGAGCTTAGAAAAATATACATGATTATCTTAAAAGTCAACCTCCGAAGTTCAGTCAGGAACTCAATGCGACCCATTTGCGACCATTTCTCCAATGTAGAGACAACATTAGTCTCAATATACTGCATGTATATAGACAAGGCTTCGTGACCGTTGATTGGTGCTGCAGTCAACTTACGAAGCCTTTTGTGCTCTTCGTATGAAATTCCAACAAACGATTTTTTTCCAATGAGTTCCTCTGTGGCAACTGGCCACCCTGGCTTGAATGCATCGTCGTCCGTCAACACTTTTCGACATCCTTCGGGAGTGGTGACAATGATGCTAGGGCTACCGAACATAAATGACTTGTATACTCCCTCGGTTCCATATCTGTAATTTTTTCATACATAAATAATTACTTATGAACAATCATTTCATAAATATGTACCTTAAAATATATAAAAATAATCATAAAATAAATAATATAATACAATGCAAGAGGTACAAAATATTTTTTAAAATTTATGTAAATCAAGGAAAAATGACAATGATGGTGACAAACTTTGCCTGCCCTGGGAAAGTTCCAATGACTCCTTCTCTATGGGTTCAAATTTTATTATTATATTTAAGTATTTTTTGCTAATAAAATTAAATAATCAAAATAATTCATTATTAATAGTTAGGTGAAAAATAATTTTTTAATAATATAATTTTTAGATAAATAAGTTGTTAGAATATAAACGTAATTTTTTTAAATCTTAAATTACGAAAATACCCTTTGAGTCGGTGCATCAAATTTCAAAACCAAAAACATAGCACACGACTAAGTTACATCCTACAGATCTTCTACCCTGCCAATGCACTGAAAATGTTCAAGTTTCAAACAAAATCGACAGCTATTTTCATTAAGATTCCAAGAGTTATTAAAATAAAATATATGATTTTTCAATTTAAAATCAAACAAACTTTGGTTGTATTCCATAGTTTTTTATTCTACACTTTAAACATTTTTATTACAATTGATGTCTGCTAGCAGATGCAAACAGACATAAAAATGCTTTTAAACCTTCTTTTTGTATCTAATACTTACCCTTGAAGCTTTAATTCCATTTATCTGCTTTATTGTATACTTAAAACTGATATCCGCTTGCAGACAAATACAAAATGTTTTTAAACCTTGTTTTCGTATCTAATACTTACCCTTGAAGCTTTAATTCCATTTATCTGTTTTATTTTGATAAATATATTTTAATTGGAAGGGTAGAAAGGTAAATAAAATTACAGAGCAACTCTTTTTATGAAAGTGACAAACCAAAAACAAATACTACTTCCCCCAACAGAATAAATGAGAATTTTAAAGAGTACAACTTCATAATGCACACTTGATAAAGCCAATAAAATTGGATTTAAAGAGTACAACTTAATAATGCATATAACCACCACCACCATTGTATAGTATTTCCACTCTACTCCCCCAACCCAAAAAGATTCAGACATTTGTTGGTGGTATAATCAAAAAGAATATGTTCCATTCATAATTTTCATATACTTTAAAAAGCATATCTAAATAGTTTTTTTTTCTATAATCAAAAAAATGAAATATCAAAATATAAAAAAGTTTTACATTTAATATTTTATGTATTACAAATAAATTATACACACATTTTGATAAGATTAGGATCTTTGATTTCGGGTATCGTTGAAACGATTTGATAAGTAAAAAAGAACAATGTTCGTTAAGACGCTTCTTCAACATTCAGCTTTCATAAGTAGAGCGTTTCTTTGGACATATTCACGAGGGTGTATAGTTTATATATTATAACGATGAATCGAATCGAACGAACAGAGTGCTGATTAATTATAACTAAGAGATAATAATTAAGAGGAGAGAGATGAATGACCTTCGAACTATATCGGACATGAAAGCATCAGGATTGGTGGATTTGAAAGCTCTGAGGAAAGCCCACATGTTGCCGATGAACGGCCACCCCATATCACCTGGTGGCAGCCTCTCTCGAGTCTTCTTCTCCAAACCACTCTCGTACATCCACGAATTCACACTCTTCAAAACCCATTTCAGAACCAACACTAATCCCAACAAAATTCCCACATAGTAACTCATCCCTCCCACTTCTTCAAACCCCATTTCGCAAATCAAATTCCACACAATATATATATATATATATAATATATATATATAGATATGTGTGTGTGTGTGGGGGGAGAGAGAGAAAGAAAGAGAGAGAGAAGAGCTTATGATCAGCTGTGTAATTTGTAGAGAGAGGGAGAGATGGAAATGGTGATGGGTCTTTTTGGTGGAGTCCTTTGTGTGTATATATATATATATATATATCCACAAGCACACACGAGAGAATGAATAGATATGGTAATTACTTTAAGCATTAAATTATATATATATATATATATATATATATAAAATAAAAATTACTATCTTCATATCTAAGATGCACCATATATATTTTGATTATATTAAAGGTAATTTATTTAAATTATTTCCATGTAAAAATAAATAAAAATTTGTTCATGCAAGATGGGGTGAAATATTTTGATTCTAGAGCAAGAGTTTTAAACCTTCAATTGCGATTCATGTTTCGTTTTGTTTTAGTTATTATACTATATTATAAAATATTTGACAAAAAAAACTTTTAAAAATCATTTTTTATGTATGAAGTACTGTATATTGATGTATATTACTTAAAATTCAAGATTACAAATAAATTATATAAATACAATTTGAAAAGCTTCATGTTTGAATTCGTGTAACTAACTGCAGATAAATATAATCAAATAAAGGATAAACATTTCATTTTAAAATAAAAAAAATCTAAAAATATAATTAGGATCATTATCGAGTTTTAACAAAATAATTAACTATTATATTTATAAGAAAATTATATTACTAATTAAACCAAATATAAGTTACTTCGTTATTGAAATTAAATTAAATTATAATTAAAAAATCTAATTTAAAATATTACACAAAAAATGAAAAATTTTAAATAGTTAATTTGATACTAATATCAATATAATTTTGTCAAAATATTATGTCTTCAAATTTATATTTTATTCAAAAATAAAAACATCATCGTTTTTTCAAAATCATATAAGATCATATTATAACATCTATTGAGTAATAAAATAAAATATTAAAATCAAGATATATCTTGCTACATTATGCGAGTACCCTTCTAGTAATTTTGAAATGGAAGTAGAGTATTTAGTTGATTATCAGTTTTAAATAGTGTTTTAAAGTTTAATATTTATCATGTATTTGAACATGTTTATCAGTTAGTTTTAAACATTTCTAACAATTAGTCTAAAGTTCCTATAAAATAGGGAACCAAAAATTTAAATCTCTAAAAAAATTATGATCAACTATTTTGGATATTTTATCATTAATTATATTATTAGGTTTCATTTGGCAAACAAATAGATAAGTTAATAAATTAATTATAAAATAATCAAAAAGAATATGGAAA